CTTCATTTACCAGTTGATGTCTCTGGTTCCCTGTTTGCAATCTTATAAGCTTGTTTTTCTTGGATACTTCCATAGCTGAATTGGTTTCTTGGTTATGTAATCATGTGTTTAATGGTTGGTTGTTGTTTGCTGTTGTTTGTTCTCTGTCCAAAGGACTCCTTTTAGTGTCACTTGTAAGTCTGGTCTTGTCATAACAAATTCTCTTAATTTCTGCTTACCTAGAGATGTCCTCTAATTTCACCATTTTATTTGAGGTGTAATTTTGCTGGGTATACAATTCTTGGTTGGAAATTTTTTTCTTTCAGGTTTTTATATATACCAACCCATTGCCTTCTTGCTTGCAGGGTTTCTGCCTAGAAATTAGAGCTTAGTTTTATTGGTTTCCCTTTTTAGGTAACTTTGTTGTTTTTTTTGTTCTGCTTTCAGGATTATTTCTTTGTCTTTGGTTTTGGTGAGTTTTATGATGATGTATCTTGGTGATTTCCTTTTGGGGTCTGTCCTGTTTGGGGTTACTTGGATTTCTTGAATGGACATCTTCTTGTCTTTCATGATATTAAGGAAATTCTCTTACAAGAAATTTTTGATTATTTTCTCTGTGGTTTTGTTTGTCTCCTTCTGTTCTGGAATTCTAATTACACGTAGGCTGTTCTACTTGAATCTTATTCTTTTTCATTTTGTTTTGATCTTTTTTTTGATTGATTCCTTACCATAGAAGGATTGAGATATTTGTCTTCCATCTCACTAATTCTTCCATTGGTTCAATTCTACTCCTTTGTCCATTCAATGTGTTACCTGTTTCTGAAAATTTGGTATTAATCTTCCAATTTCTATCTGTAGATTTTGTATCATTTCTAATTTTTCATTTATTTTGTTGTTTTATTTTTGTATTGTCTTCAGAAATTGTTCTAGATTTTTGTCTGCGTTTTCCTTAATTTTTTTCAATGTTTTCCTTGATCTGCCTCTCTTGAAGGTACCTAAATATAATTCTTTTCAGTTCCTTATCAGGGAGTTCCAATCCTGCTTCTTCTTCAGGGATGTGTTCTGGGTCTGTATTCCAGTCCCTTGTTTCTATTGCTTTATCTTGCTTCTTTGTGTGGACTGTGATGGTCTGTTGTCTCTGAGACATTGTGATTTTGTTGTATTTACACTTAATTGGTAATTGCATGTTGGACAGATTTGCTTAAGATTTTATTTTTTTTTTTGGGGGGAGGGTGTATCTGAATAAGCAGGGCACTGTGCTCCTCTGTTCGTTAGTTGGCAGCATTTATGTACTCACTACATGTCTCCTTTCTATCCCTCAGCCTCTGGTATGTCCATGCCATCCTTAGCCAGTGGAGCCTATTCTTAAGTCCCTGGATCTGAATGAGAGAGCACTGGCAGTTTAAAGATACAAAATGACTGCAGCACTTGTAAACATTCAGAATGGTGGCCATGCCCTTCAGACAGCCAAAAGTCCACACCTCAGCTTGTCTCCTTGTTTGCTGTTTCTCTTTTTAGTCACCAGCCACCAGTGCAGTTGTACATGCAGCCCTTGGCAAGCAGGACTGATTTTTAGGTTAATTCTCTGGTCCTAACACAACTTGGAAATATTCAAACTGTCTGTGCTGTCAGGATAGCTGACAGTCTGCAGTCCATTTGCCTCCTTATTCACTGTTTTCATGCAGGTTCCTCTACTAGTTGGTGTTTAATCCACTTTTTAATCCTTCCTTTCAAAGCTCAGGGCTCCAGTATTATCTTCAGTATCTGTTTCAATTAGTTTATCTTTTCTTTGTGAGGAGGGTCTGTGTAGTTTGTCTGCCTATTCTGCCATCTTATCAGAAGTCATCGTTTGATTCCTTGATTGCTGCTTCCATGGGCGTTGATTGCGGATGCAAGTAAATGAAATCCTTGACAATTTCAGTCTTTTCTCCATTTATTGTGATGTTACTTATTGGTCCAGTTGTGAAGATTTTAATTTTCTTTTTGTTGAGGTGCATTCCATACTGCAATGCAATCTTTGTTCTTCATCAGTAAGTGCTTCAAACCCCCTTCACTTTTAGCAAGCAAAGTTGTGTCATCTGCATATAACAGGTTGTTAATGAATCTTCCTTCAATCCTGATGCCACATCTTTCTCCATATAGTTTAGTTTTTCAGATTATTGGCCCTGCATACAGGTTGAATAAGTATGGTCAAAGACCACAATATTGATGTACACCTTTTCTGATTTTAAACCATGCAGTATCACTTTGTTCTGTTTGAATGACTGCTTCTTGGTTTGTACATAGGTTCCTTATGAACATAATCAAATGTCCTGGAGTTCTTATTCTTCACAATGTTATCCATGATTTATAATGATATACACAGTCAAATGCTTTTGCATAGTCAAAAAAGCACAGTTAAACATTTTTCTGGTATTCTCTGCTTTCAGCCAAGATCCATCTGACAGGAGTGATGATGTTCCTTGTTCCACATCCTCTTTTGAATCTGGCTTACATTTCTGGCAGTTCCTCTATATACTGAATTATTTTCAGCAAAATTTTATTTGTGTGTGTGATATTAGTAACATTGTCTGTTAATCTATTGGATCCTTTCTTTGGAATGGCCACAAATACAGATTTCTTCCAGTCAGTTGGTCAGGTAGTTGCAATGTAATAAATTACATATTATAGCTTTTCTGGCCATAGTCTTTGTAAACTCTGTGGTGTAATTTGCAACTGAGTAGCTCCTGATTGTTAAAGTTATCCACCTGGGGTATTTATGTTGAGAGTGGCACAAAGCAATCTTCTGGGACGTTCGTTCTCTCAGGTGTATAGAATTCTGATGTTGGGATTGGTTAGTTTGGCCACTCTGCCCGGCTCAAAAGCTCTCCTAGAGGCAGAAGGAATCTTTCACTGCCGGCTGAGAGATTCTGCTGAGAGAGATGTGAGAGACATGTACTGCAGAGAGAGAGAGATGAGAGGTACACATTGCTGAGAGAGAGACACAAGAGACATGCACTACTGAGAGAGAGATGTGCTACCGAGAGAGACTGCCAGCTGCTGAGTGAGACAGCTAGCTGCAAGAGACTGATTGCATTCCCAAATTGTACTCTGTTGCTTCCCTAATAAACCCCATAATCTGTGAGTTCTGTGTGGCCACTGCAGTGAATTACTGAAGCCAGCAGAGAGGTGGGTGCCGCAGGAGGAACAGTTGGCATCAAGGTTAGTAAGAGGGCTGGAGGGTGGCAGGCCTTGGGTTGCTGATGGGATCTGTCTTCCTGTTGTGGGGTTAGAGGAGGTCAGAAGATGCTGTTCCCTTGCACCTTTTGCAGTAGCTGTCTTCCAAATTTCTTGACATAAACAAGTAAGTGCCTCTGGTGCTGCATTTGTTTGTTGAAACATCTCAGTGAGTATTCTGTCAATTCCTGGAGCCTTGTTTTTGGCCAGTGCCTTCAGTATAGGTTGGACTTCTTTCTTCAATACTTTCAGTTCTTGAACATTGCTACTTCCTGCAATGGTTGAATATCAACCTATTCTTTTTTTGGTATAGTGTCTGTGTTTATTTCTTCCATCTTCTCTTGATTCTTCTTGTATTGTTCAATATTTTCCCCTTAGAATCTTTTATCATTGTAACTTGAGGCTTGAGATTATTATTTTTTTTTTTTCCTTCATTTCTTTCAGCTTGAGTTATGTCAAGTGTGCTCTTCCCTTTTGGTTTTCTAACTTTAGGTGTCACATATTTCATTATAATACTTTACTTTGTCTTCTTGATTTGCTTTTTGAAATCTTCTGTTCAGCTCTTTTATCTTGTCATTTCTTCTATTCACTTTAGCTACTCTCTGTTCAAGAACAAGTCTTAGAGTCTCTTCTGACATCCACTTTGATCTTTTCTTTCTTCCTTGCCTTTTTAATAACTGTTTGCTTTCTTTGTATATGATGTCCTTGATTTCATCCCACAACTTATCTGTTCTTCAGTCTTTAGTGTTCAATGCATCAAATCTATTCTTGACGTAGTCTTTAAATCTGGTGATATATACTCAAGGTCACAGTTTGGCTCTTGTGGTTTTAATTTTCTTTAGCTTCAGCTTTAACTTGCATATGAGCAAGTGATGGTGTGTTCTACAGTCAACCCCTGGCCATGTTCTGACTGACAAAGTTGAGCTTCTGTATCATCTCTTTCCACAGATACATTTGATTTGATTCCTGTATATTCCATCTGATGAGGTGCACATATATTGTTGCTGTTTATGTTGATGACAAAAAGATGTTTGACATGAAGAGGTTGTTGGACTTGCAAAATTTTATCATGTGTTCTGGGACACTGTTTATGTTACCAAGGCCATATTTTACAACTATTGATCCTTCTTCTTTATTTCCATCTTTTGCCTCCCAATCACCAGTAATCATCACTGCAGGTTTTATAGCTAGGGGTTTGAAATGTCTCAATATCTGGAATATATGGTAGGATGAAACTCTGTTTGTTCTTAATCCCCCCCCCCCTTTTTATTCTGGTCAGGTAGGCAATACATTATATGTACAAAAAGCGGTAAACTATCCTGCTAATTTTCTGTGTCTCAGAGTCTATGCTCCTGCCTCTCAGTAGCCTCTCCTGACATCTCTCCTAGCTGAAGTTTGTGTTGGATGTCTGTCTTATTTGCCCCCACATTACCCTGTATTTTCTTGCTGTGCTTTTAATTTCCCCTCCTAGAGTGTAAGCTCTGTGAAGACAGAGATTGTCTCTGTTTTCTTTTCCATTGTTTCCCTAGTGCCTGGCACCATCTGACAGCTAGTGTTTAGTGAATACTTGTTTATATAGGAGCTCTGGTGGTGTAGTGCCTAAGGCATTTGACTGCTAACCAGAAGGCTGGTAGTTCAAACCCAACAGCCACTCCTTGGAAGGAAGATTGGGCAATCTCCTTCCATAGTGATACCACCTTGGAAACCCAAGGAGGGGTCGCTATGAGTTGGATCTGACTTGACGGCAGTTTTTTTTTGTTGTTGTTTATATGAATGATACTCAAACCTCTATCTTTTCTTTCTAGTTTCAAATGCTGGCACAGATGGAATGCTTGGGTTTTCAAAACCATCTCTTCTGGAACATGCTATAGAAAGAAAAAGTGCTATTTCTCTTGATGCTGCTATGAAATTTATAAAATTAGCTTTTAACTATGAGGAATGGAGTTTATTTGAATCATCAGCTGCACAATTTATTTATTTTCTCCAGGTAATATATGCAAAGCCATTAATTTGTTTTCATTTTCTTAAGATAGCATTGAATTACAAATTAACTTTAGGGATATACTTATTTCTTTTAGAAGCAGAATTGTCCAGAGTCAAAGAAAGCAGAGATGGATTTAACTCTTCTTCTTGCAATAGAACCTCTAATCAATGTAAAGAGAAACAAAGGTTTGGTCTTTCCTTTGGAAAACTTCAAAGAAGGACAATGTGTTCAAGCTCATGTTAGAAAAATTGCTCTTCAGGGTGAATATTTATTTTTCTTTTTTGAAAATTGAAATGATTTTATCTGATACAATATGCTTATTCATAGGTGAGATGAGAGAAAGAAATTTGAAGATGGAGGGAGCAGGAACTGCAAAGGCCTTGAGCCTAGAGTGGTTATGGTGTGTTGAAGGAATAGCATGAAGGCAGGTACAGCTGAAGTGCGTTGGTGGTGATGGTGGAGATTAGCAGTGTGGAAGGAGATGAAGTCAGAAGGAGCTGGGCATCAGCTCATGCAGGCTCTTAGGCCTTGTAGTGCTGCTAAATTTAATCTGAGTGAGGGTTTTGGATAGAGGAATGAGTCTCTACTTAGTTGCTGTCCAGCAGGGCAATTGAATGAAAAGCTATCAGCCAGTAGAACCAAGGAAGATCTGTAATGGTTTCTGTCTTTCCAGCATTCAGGGTCTTCCATTCTAGGACTTTTCAAGTCTTAAAAATTATCATGTATTAATTGAAAATCAATACAAATTATGGCCCCAACTTACTGCTTTTCAAATTCAGATTCACTTATGTGAATATAATAGACTTAAGGGAGCTCTCGTAGCATAATGCCTTTGACTGCTAACCAGAAGGTTGGTGGTTCAAAC